TTAAAATAAATTGTGTGATGTCACCTTTCAACATTTTCTTATCATAATAACAAATTTTCTTAATTCACTACAAACACCTGAAGAATTATTTAATGTCATAGTATTCTTTTTAATTACAAACAAATAAAAAAACAGAAAACTTCTTCTAAAAACTTACATTATCTCTAATTTTTGGATCTCCTCCAGCCTGAAGTAATAACCTATAACTTCTCATTTTATCTTTCTGAGCAACAGAAGCAGCATAATGAAGAGGTGTTCTTCCTTCCTACAACAAAAAAAAAAATTGATTGTATTTCAACTGCTTATTAAAGATAATATATAATATATAACTTATTAAAAATATATTATTATATAATAAAACTCTTACAATCAATCTTTATTAAATGATCAACAATTTTATAGTCAATTTTATGAATTATATTCCAATAAATAATCTGTAAATGTATAAAAATCATCCAAAATCTAATTCATATTAAAAAAATGTAAGAACTGATTACAGAAATTTAGTCACTTCTAAACAGAGAAACACTAATTCATAGCTAAAATACAAGACTTTTATTTAAAGCACTAAGAAGTATGTATAAACTAGGAAAGAACAAATTCATGTTCTGATTCTGGTGATGATGTATTGACCTTGGGAAACTAATATACAGCATGTCTCAGTTAAACGTTTCAGAACTTCTAAGAGGGGTAGGGTGCATCCTGACGACTCGGAATCATATAGCAATGCAGGGTCTGAAATGCTTTCCTGAAGCGGTGATGTACACAGAAACAGATAACCTCTGGTGCAGACTTGCAAAGAAATTATGGCTGGGAATACACCTCATCGGATATCGTTTCACGTACAAGCAGTGTGTGGCTGGCCTACTACAATCTGCAGCCCCGTACACCAAATGCATATCGGCTAACTCTGTGTCCTTGTGTGAAATGACAATTCCCTGTAAGAACGCTAGAAACTTTCACGCAGTGCCATCTACCGCTTCAGGAAAGCATTTCCGACCCTGCATTGCTGTATGATTCTGAGTCATCGGGATGCACCCTACCCCTCTTAGAAGTTCTGAAACGTTTAACTGAGACACACTGTATATTAGTTTCCCAAGGTCAATACATCATCACCAGAATCAGCAATAAAAGGAATATAACCAATTAACAATTTTGAAAGAAATTTCTGAATTAATATTCTTCAAACTTCATAAAGTAAATATAACATTCAATAATTAATTAACACAAATTATATAAATCTTTCTTATATGATTCTGAGTTATGAAATTTTAAGCTATTCTTATCGTTTACAGGAAGAGGATTTTTGACATGATTTTTATCCAATAAAATAACTACATGATGGCTTTCTAGAACACATTTAATATAAATATAAAATGTGTTTTCAAAGTAAATAATAAATTTAAATTTCTGAATTATTATTAGAATTTGACAAAATAATGATCTTCATAACAGGTTTACAAAAGCCATTGTGACAAATTTATTGAAGGTCAAAGTAAACAAAGTAAAATACTTAAGTAATATCTATGTGCCATTTCAGCAGTAATTGTTGGTTTTTGGGCTATATATTGTCAATTTATTTTTTATTTTTTGGATAGTTTTGATTGGCAGTATTGCTGTGACGGCAAGGGGGTATTTAAGAATGTGCAGAATGGCAACTTGCCCTCTCTCTGGACTTTATGGTTGGCGTGCTGGTTTTGCTTGGAGAATTCACATTTCTTTTACAAGTGTGACATGTTCTCAGGAACTGTGCATTATGTTGAATTGCTAAGGTTAGCTCGGAGATAAATCCATTCACATCAAGGAAATTACCTGCTGGATATGTTAGATTCAGGGTTCAAATTAATGAATTGTTGGGGGATAATATCACCCAACTAATATTACGGAGATCCACGTGTTAAACTGTAGAAAGGACTTTGTGTCAACCGCCATGTGTAACCTAATTGTGCAACTTGTAAATATATTCTGTATATATTAATTGTATATAAACTTAATTTTATGTGATATTTTGTTGTTTCCCATTGTTTGTGGTAATCACACTTCTACATATCCTATTACGGATCATTGTGAATCCCACATCTATCTTAGTTAATAATAATAAAGAGGAAAGTTATAACAACCCTGAAGTTTCTCAAATTTCTCAGTATACCTAATGAATTCAATTAAATTTTATTTTATTTTTTATTTTAAATTTTATTTAAAATTTTACATGAAATAATATGAGCAGGNATAATAATTTTGCTGGTTGTAATTTAGTTCATTGAAAAAGAAAATTTTCAATTTAAATTAAAGAAAATTAAAATGATCTAATTTAAAAAAATAGTAGTATTTCTCACAGCCATCAGTAACTTCAAAAAAGAAAAATCTCTATCCAGATTTGAGTAATAAAACTTTCATATATCAATTTTAAAAAATAGCATAAAAACATAGATATATTTCAATATATTTGTAAAAATTATTTTAAAAATTGTATTTATTGTATTTAACAAAATTATTTAATATCATGTATTTGATTAATCTATTTAGTAAAGAAAATTAATGAGGAATTGTAAAACACAACTTTAATTAAAATAATTTAAAAAACTGTTCCCTTCACTAACTGCATTCATATTAACCATAACACATTACCTTTTCTCAATGCAGTAAATGTTTATTTTTCTAATGTTAATAAAAACAAAGCTGTAACTTATTCTAATTAATAAGTTACAGCTTTGTTTTTTTGTAAATTGTAAATTTAAGTTATTTCCTGGAGAAGGTCAATTAAAAAGGACAAAAACATTAGAAAAATAAACATTCACTGCATTGAGAAAAAGTAATGTGTTGTGTGTAAAAAACTGTTACTGTCATTTATGTATGTTTTCTATAAAATTTGTTAAAGAATACATTTTCATTTTTAAAAGTTAAAAATTACTTTAAAAGGATATCATACTTTTGATAAGAAACCATTTTTTATATTATGTTAAAAAACATTAACAAAATTTAATGCATTACATAAATTTCAATGATATTAAATCCAAAATATTATATTTCTTTAGTAATATATTAAACACTTTTTGTTTTGTAAATAATAGATTATTTTATGTTTTATTCTAACAAATAACAAATCAAAATAAACAATAATGAACTACATCATTTTAAATTTTATCACTTAATTATTAAATAAATTTTAAAATATTACATTTAAGAGAAAAAGTTTTCCTTTTATTTATATTTCTTCAAATATTTAAATATTATATTAAGAAAATACTCTAAATTACAAATAAATTGCTTTTAATATTTCATTAAATATTTAGTTATTTAAATAAATGATATTTAAAAGAAAATTTATAATTCTTCACAAAATAAGATTTAGTAAAAAAAAAGCATATTATTTATTGACATTTTATAAAGATTTATAAAATATTTATTAGTATATTTGTTTAAAATTAAGAATGAACAGACAAAACTTATTGATTAATTAAACTTTAAATAACTTATTATAAAAAGCAGATTCATAAAAATTTCTTATTTATAAAACTAACTGAAGTATTAAAAATGCATCTGTTAAAATCTTAATGTAAATTACAGTACTGTTGTTTATTGTAGACAAAGTGCTATGAATCTTTAATCATGAAAATGTTTTTCTATTGCATAGAATTATTATTTCTATATAATAGGAAATCTGTTTATAAACATTTTCAAAAATATTCTAGTACATAATATAAAATTTGAGTTTTCTTTTAAACAAAATTAATAACAGAACTATCAAATATTATTCAAAAAACATCAAACTTTTAATTAATATATGAATGTAGAAAACTAACAAAATTTGATTTTTGACTGCCTTAAAATATTAAAATTAAATACTTTAGACATAGAATGTTAAAATGATTCATTTTAAATTTGAAAAAAATCTGTTAAGGAGAAAATTCTTAGTTTTTTAAGTAAGAATGTTTAAACATTTAATTGATAAAAACTGTAAGAAAATTTCTTAGTGTAATTAATTGAGAAAACCTGAATTTATGATGGCATTATTTCATTTATTCTTTATAACTTATTAAATGCTGACATTTTGACAAATATTTTAAGTAAATACAATCTGATAACAACAAACAGTAAAAGCATTTGAATTTAATTGTTTTTCAATTTTAATTTAATTTTTGTTGTTTATAATTCTGTAACTAGTTTAAAACAATTAGAATATTTAATCAATTTTTCATTAAATTATTTTCTTTGGAATGTGTATTAACATATCCATCTATTATTCAGTTATTAATTTAATGTTAAAAATTTTTTTTTTAATTTTATAAATGAATGTTTAAAAATAAATCTGTTCTCCAAACATAAATATTCTATCATAAATGGTAAAATGAGAAAAAACAAATAAATAATTTTAAAAGTTCAAAAAATTTCTAATTGTAATTAAATATTAGAAATACTGTCTATATTAATTAATTTTTGATAAAAGTTAAAAACATAAAAATTCTTAAAAATAATTTTTAGTGTAAGTAGATAATATATAAAATGAATTTGAAAAATTAAATTCAAAATAAATATAGCTCATTAAAATTTAAAAATCAAAGTAGTTATAAAAATATGAAGAGAGATAATTGATGAAAATTTTAATAATTAAATGTTCAATTAAAAAAAGAAATAACTGAACAATTTGGTTATATATTATGAACTAAAACTAATGTTGATTAAAATATTATCCATTTTACCTGGAAAATATTTGTTATATAATAATTTTGCTGGTTGTAATTTAGTTCATTGAAAAAGAAAATTTTCAATTTAAATTAAAGAAAATTAAAATGATCTAATTTAAAAAAATAGTAGTATTTCTCACAGCCATCAGTAACTTCAAAAAAGAAAAATCTCTATCCAGATTTGAGTAATAAAACTTTCATATATCAATTTTAAAAAATAGCATAAAAACATAGTACATGTATTTAGTTTTATAATATTTAAATATGATCATTTGAAATGATCATATTTAAATATTGTAGTTGGTATTTTCCCCGAAAGATATTCTTCTAATATCCATATAATTACTTTCTAACATTTATAAAAATAAAAATTTTAAATTCACCTCCTAATTTATTACGTGAGGCAGCAGGAGGTTCTGATGTTGTTCTTCTACTTTGTTTAGTTCTTGATTTTATTTCAGCTTTACTAGGAATAGCAACATGATGAGTTCGATAATATTCTGGTGTACGTCCTTGCTAAAAATAAATATAATTATGAAAGTAAGTTTGATAAAGTAAGCAACATATTTGAGATTGAAAACTTAGAAAATTTTAATTAAGTGAATAACTGATTATGCATACTTTATTATAAAATTATATTATATATTTATATGTATACAGTTGAACCTTCCAACCCAACACTTGTGAGACCAAAGAATTGTGTCAGATTATCAAGGTTGTCAGATTACTGAAACAGTACTCAAAAAGTGCTTAAAATTCATTCATTAAAAAAAGCAGAAATCTTACAGTTTAATGATAACAATCATTTTCAGTGTCTGCTTTCAAAGACAATACTTGATTTAACAAAGACAGTTCTTTTTCTTGAGAATAAACAAGTTTGTTTATTCATTTTAGTACTTCAGTATGGATAATTATTTCATTTGTTTTCCTTCTATTCCATTGATTTCATTCATTACCTCAGGACAATATTGATGTAATAAATTATCTTCTCAATCTGGTAAAAATCTTCTATTGCAACTATTTCTTCAAACACTAGCATTTCTGCCTGTGACACTTAGTAATATATTGACAATTGCTGCAGCCCAGATATGATGGTGTAAACCATTACCCAATGCCTTTGTTGGTAAAACACCCCTATGATAGGTTCTGAAGTAGGGTTATATGAGGTCCCAGAAATAGTTTATAATTAAAAAGGAAATGTATATTTATTAAATTAAACCATCGAGAAAACAAGTAATATAAGTGTCAAGACTGCGACACCTGACTTTGACATCATCGCTCATAAAGAATAGAGGGAAAACAATATTTAGAATAAAAGAAAATAAAAAGAGGAAATTGTTTAAAACTTAAAACACAATAAGAAAAAGGAAGCGATGAGACACAATATGAGTGCAGGTGTCTTAGTCATCAATGAATCGCAATCAGAGTCAAGAGCTCAAGAGGATGTGTCAGATAAACCATCCCAGCAGACCTTTCTCACGACCTACCTTGGTCTCAAATTTTACCTCTAAACAGGTAAGAGACCAATCAAGGAGTGAGAAAGAGAAAGCCCGACCAATCAGAAAAAAAACTGAGAACAAGAAATTATAAAAGCCCAAGTTGTCCGAGAACAAGGGTTCGATCTGTCGGTTCGATCTATCAGTTCAATCCAGAAGCACTTGGTCATCTAAATCATCATCATCCTCAATTACATCATGTGAACATAGAAAACATCATTGACTCCTCCCGTGATAACTTCAAGTGTGCAAATTTCAACAAGTTTGAATTCGCAATTATCTCATCACTGCCCTGGGGCTGCCTATCCAGCATCAATCAATGAAACACTAATGGAAACCAACATCAAGGTTCCACACTATTTTTAGGACTCAAATTTTTGGATGTAAGCATAACCTTTAACCAAATAAACGGTTTTCTTTTGTAACACTTGTTGTTTCCTGCCTCCAGAACTGCCACCCATATATGCAAGGGCTTAGACCATCCCAACAAAAAAGGAATAAAATCTCTCCCTAATCAGCAGCATGCTTACAGTTACTCACCACCCTCATGCTTCTGTTGGGATGACACAAGAGGATGGAGATACCATAATCATATTTAATTGATACCATAATAAATTTTTTCTAATGTCTATGTTCATTTTCTAATTACAGCTGTCTCTTGATAGTCTCTTGTAATCCAACATGCTCAGTAGTCCGACGCACCTCCTGTCAAAGTATCCATCCCCGTTATGTGTCAGTTTGCACAGAAGCATGTTGCAACATGAATCTCCCCACACAATTCATACACAATGGCACACATTTCATGTGTTTTCCGTGAGCAGTTCTGTTCAAACAGTTGGAGTAGGGAACATTGTAGGCTACTGCTAGCAAAACAATGCCAAATATGTAATCACTTTCGGTAATCTGGACACTTTTGGTAATCCTACACTCCTTTGGTCCCATATCTGTCGGATTATCAAGGGACAGCTGTAGTACATTGGATATGTAAGAAAGTAATTAAGTTGATGAAAAAAATTTTAAAGTATTTTAACAAATCTTGAATATATTTAAAAAATCATTTAAATACTTATATTGGCAAAATCTGTAGCATAAGTTTTCAAGCAAAATTAGTAACAAATCATGGCAAACAAATAGATGAAATATCAATTAATGATGCAATCTGATAGTTACACTTGTTCAAATGATAATTTTTAATACTGTATTGTCACTAAAAATATGTATTCCAATGTAACAAATCTAATTTTATTATATTTTCAAATTTATAGATTATGAGATTATGCGTGTTTAAAATTTTGTTATATAGAATGATGAAGTTTTGTTATAATAAAAATGTAAATGTTTGTTTGTTCAAAATCTTAAATCTCCAAAAGTTCTTCACCAATTGCTTTGAAATTTTGAAACAACGTTGCACTCGAATACACGTGTTTTTAAATTATATAGATGTCAAAATCCCCCCCCAGGGGAGAGGGACAAAATTAAGGCTTGCTGTGAAGAACTCTAACTCTGCTTTTATTATAATATTTCAGATGCGGTTTTTTGTGTTTTTGATTGCGTTTTAATAGGGTACTGTACATCAAGAGAATGTACACTAAGAAGGAATTTTTCGAAATTCCCTCCTGCAGGGAGTGTTATACATTTATAATAGATACATTTTGAGCCACAGCAATGTGTGGCTGGGTACAGCTAGTACAAAATAAAAAGGAATATCAATTAGTTTAAGGAATTTAAAATTTAATTCATTAAGTACATCTTTAAAAAAAAATCTCTATTTGAGGTAAATACAGCAGTATTCATTTTTGAAAATTGACATGGTTTTAAAAGGTATGAATTTCAAAACTTTATTAGATTTGTAAAGTGGACAATGCTCATATATCCTAGAATATGTCACACTGAAGAATAAACTATTATTATTATTAACCATTCTATTTCATATTATCTGTTATGGTATTTTATAACTTTCACTTGTGAAAAATGTTTATGTAAAATAATTCTGATTTTGTGTTATTAGAAATTTATAATGTAAATTTTCATTTGAAAGTTAATACATTCAAATTACAATTTTTTACATATAACAAAATTTCAATATCACAGTGCAATAATAATTTCAATTACAGTTGTCCCTCTATAGTCCGATGTTTTTTAATCCTACGTGCTCAGTAGTCCGATGCACCTCCCGTCAAGGTACCCGTCCCCGTTACGTGTCTGCTTGCACAGAAGCATGTCGCAATGTGAATCTCCCCATCCAATTCTTACTTGATGACACACATTTCATGTGTTTTATGTGAGCAGTTCTGTTCGAACAGTTGGAGTAGAGAATATTGTAAGTTACTGCTAGCAAAACAATGCGAAATATGTAATTATTTTCGGTAATCCGGACACTTTTGGTAATCTGACACACCTTTGGTCCCATACCTGTNACAAATGTTGAAAGGTGACATTGTGTAATTTAAAATAAATTGTGTGATGTCACCTTTCAACATTTTCTTATCATAATAACAAATTTTCTTAATTCACTACAAACACCTGAAGAATTATTTAATGTCATAGTATTCTTTTTAATTACAAACAAATAAAAAAACAGAAAACTTCTTCTAAAAACTTACATTATCTCTAATTTTTGGATCTCCTCCAGCCTGAAGTAATAACCTATAACTTCTCATTTTATCTTTCTGAGCAACAGAAGCAGCATAATGAAGAGGTGTTCTTCCTTCCTACAACAAAAAAAAAAATTGATTGTATTTCAACTGCTTATTAAAGATAATATATAATATATAACTTATTAAAAATATATTATTATATAATAAAACTCTTACAATCAATCTTTATTAAATGATCAACAATTTTATAGTCAATTTTATGAATTATATTCCAATAAATAATCTGTAAATGTATAAAAATCATCCAAAATCTAATTCATATTAAAAAAATGTAAGAACTGATTACAGAAATTTAGTCACTTCTAAACAGAGAAACACTAATTCATAGCTAAAATACAAGACTTTTATTTAAAGCACTAAGAAGTATGTATAAACTAGGAAAGAACAAATTCATGTTCTGATTCTGGTGATGATGTATTGACCTTGGGAAACTAATATACAGCATGTCTCAGTTAAACGTTTCAGAACTTCTAAGAGGGGTAGGGTGCATCCTGACGACTCGGAATCATATAGCAATGCAGGGTCTGAAATGCTTTCCTGAAGCGGTGATGTACACAGAAACAGATAACCTCTGGTGCAGACTTGCAAAGAAATTATGGCTGGGAATACACCTCATCGGATATCGTTTCACGTACAAGCAGTGTGTGGCTGGCCTACTACAATCTGCAGCCCCGTACACCAAATGCATATCGGCTAACTCTGTGTCCTTGTGTGAAATGACAATTCCCTGTAAGAACGCTAGAAACTTTCACGCAGTGCCATCTACCGCTTCAGGAAAGCATTTCCGACCCTGCATTGCTGTATGATTCTGAGTCATCGGGATGCACCCTACCCCTCTTAGAAGTTCTGAAACGTTTAACTGAGACACACTGTATATTAGTTTCCCAAGGTCAATACATCATCACCAGAATCAGCAATAAAAGGAATATAACCAATTAACAATTTTGAAAGAAATTTCTGAATTAATATTCTTCAAACTTCATAAAGTAAATATAACATTCAATAATTAATTAACACAAATTATATAAATCTTTCTTATATGATTCTGAGTTATGAAATTTTAAGCTATTCTTATCGTTTACAGGAAGAGGATTTTTGACATGATTTTTATCCAATAAAATAACTACATGATGGCTTTCTAGAACACATTTAATATAAATATAAAATGTGTTTTCAAAGTAAATAATAAATTTAAATTTCTGAATTATTATTAGAATTTGACAAAATAATGATCTTCATAACAGGTTTACAAAAGCCATTGTGACAAATTTATTGAAGGTCAAAGTAAACAAAGTAAAATACTTAAGTAATATCTATGTGCCATTTCAGCAGTAATTGTTGGTTTTTGGGCTATATATTGTCAATTTATTTTTTATTTTTTGGATAGTTTTGATTGGCAGTATTGCTGTGACGGCAAGGGGGTATTTAAGAATGTGCAGAATGGCAACTTGCCCTCTCTCTGGACTTTATGGTTGGCGTGCTGGTTTTGCTTGGAGAATTCACATTTCTTTTACAAGTGTGACATGTTCTCAGGAACTGTGCATTATGTTGAATTGCTAAGGTTAGCTCGGAGATAAATCCATTCACATCAAGGAAATTACCTGCTGGATATGTTAGATTCAGGGTTCAAATTAATGAATTGTTGGGGGATAATATCACCCAACTAATATTACGGAGATCCACGTGTTAAACTGTAGAAAGGACTTTGTGTCAACCGCCATGTGTAACCTAATTGTGCAACTTGTAAATATATTCTGTATATATTAATTGTATATAAACTTAATTTTATGTGATATTTTGTTGTTTCCCATTGTTTGTGGTAATCACACTTCTACATATCCTATTACGGATCATTGTGAATCCCACATCTATCTTAGTTAATAATAATAAAGAGGAAAGTTATAACAACCCTGAAGTTTCTCAAATTTCTCAGTATACCTAATGAATTCAATTAAATTTTATTTTATTTTTTATTTTAAATTTTATTTAAAATTTTACATGAAATAATATGGACATAACTTATTATAAATACTTTCACTATAAGAAAGTTAAAAATTTTAATTGAATGTTGTAGTTTTGCTAGAAGTATATTACTAAATCTAGTGTTTCATTAAATTAAAAGCATTTGTCAATTTTTTTATGGCTGCAAACATGATTTATATTTCATACGCTTTCTCTAATGAGATTTATCTAAACTTTAGAATGGCAAATTAAACTTTTTAATATATAACAATATAGCAATGAAACATTAGAATCCTTAGCAGAATATTTTGAAGACGTTCTTGCCGAAAATAAATATCCGGAATCTGATGTTTCTCTCTCTTCTGGTGTTTTAACAATATTTCTGAATGACAAACAAGGAACCTATGTCATCAATAGACAGACTCCCAATAGGCAGATTTGGCTGTCATCTCCAGTTAGTGGACCAAAACGCTATGACTGGACGGGTGAAAAGTGGATATACAAGAGAGATGGCATCTCGCTGCACCGACTTCTAGAAAAAGAAATGTCCGAGTTGTTGGGCAAATCCGTAGACCTGTCGAACTGCTCTCACAATAAAGAGAAGTGATTAAGTGTAAGTTAGAAACATAAATCAAATACGTAATAAATAAAAGATTTATTTATTATAATCCTATTCTAATACAATATTCTAAAAGCTTTATAGCAATCAAGTTTATTTAATATGATATTTTATTGATATTAATGAATGAAAAATGAACATATTGTTGTTCTTAGAAGGTAATTTTAAGAAAATATTACAAAAGTCTGAATAAAAGCATTTCCTTATGAAAACTTATAAAACTAATTTATAACCACAGAAAAAATGTCAGTAAGAATTATAGTAAGAAAATTATAAAAAATTACAAAAGTTAAAATATGAGATCTTTCATATGTATTTTTTGTATCATTAAGTATTAAGTTATTTGATTTTAACTAAATTATATATCAGAGCTTGATCCTTTTAATCTTTAAGTACATGTGCTCCTAGTGTATAAAATACGCCAATTATAGTAAAGAAGTTCTTTTCTTGAAATGTCTCCTAGCAGTGCAGTCCATCTAACCTAATGTTGAAGCATCTACTATGACAAAAAGCAGTGCCATTGTTGCAAATATAGTGACAACTGAATCATACGCTTCAACATTTGCAGCAGCATCATCTGGTGAATAAAGTAATTATGTAATTACAGATGTAATTATATAATTATATTTAATCAACTATATTCTTTTTGTATTTATTTTTTCATAAAATTTAGTGACAGTTTTCATAAAATTGAAACTGTCAGTTTCTCTAATACCATGCTGTTGTTTTATATGAATCAAGTACCAGTTAGAAATCTAAAGTATCTCACCAAAGATGAACTTTGTCATATGGCTCAACCCATATTTTATGAAGGATCTGATGAAGAGGTTGGAGAAGGAGCAGATAAACCAGAAGATATGCTATAGAAGAGAAGAGTCACAATAAAGAATTTGAGGAAAAGCCAAATCTAAACAAGCAATTATTTATTGTGACATTGTCATAATGCAGGCTGCAATTTTTCATCACAATGCACTTAAGTTTAGTAGTGTCTTGTCCCTGTACATCATACTTTTCCTGTTAACAATTAAGTCATGCTGGTCATCTATCTAACTCCATTCAAGAGAAAATTTTTTAATTGAAATAACGTGACTTATTCAAATAATGACCATACAAATAAAGACTTTAAACTAACTCAAAATTTTTGAGTCAGTTTAAAGTCTTTATTCTTTTTAAGATTCCAACCAGATACAGATGGTTAACAATATGAAGATACAAACAGTTCTTAAAAAAACTGATGATATGATATTAAAAAAACACATGTGCACATACATTTGATGCCAACCTTTTCTTTGAGAATCTGACATCAATGACACAATATAAAAACTTTTTTAAAACATCACACATTTTAATAAAGAACTGTTTGTATCTTCATGTTGTTAACCATCTGTATCTAGTTGGAATCTTAAAAAAAGGATAAAGACTTTAAACTGTCCCAAAATTATTTGTATGGTCATTATTTGAATAAATAAATTAATCCTTGGGACTTTATAATTCATGAAATAATACAGTTGAATAATATCATATATAGTTAATCAGGGCTTCCTGCCCCTAAGCTTTCCATATCTAACACTATTCTCAAGATTAAGGACAGACAGGAAGACAGAAGGATAATAATGTGAATTTACAGGTCTACAATTTTTTTCAAATTTCAGCCCAAAAATATAAAAGAAAAAAAAAGCAGCAGCAAGAGAAAGAACAATCATCCAAATTGTGATGACTATGCTTTTGATGTGGGAGACAACAGAACAGGGTGACAATGATTACATGCAACGTAAGTAAAGCATCAGTATGTGAAGAACATGTGGTTAGGATGATCACTTTTTCAGAGTGCAACAACATAGATTTTGACAAAGATATAAAATAGTTTTACATTAAAGTATATTTTTAAATGTTATTATTTCCAAAAATTTTAATTTCTGTTTAATATACATACATTAAATATATAATGCTTATTGAAGACAACNATTAATTAATGTAAACTCGTGTTTGTTACTTATAGATTTTTATATGAATATTTTAATAAATGTGAGAAAGAAGGAGAAATAATCAATATGTATTTTTATGATTAAATCTAATTTATCATTGTAAATACAATGTTATTTTTATCGCCGTAGATATTACTAACGCTTGATGGTATGCCAAACAGTAACAAAGAACCAATGAAAATGACTGTATTTGTTACGAGCCTCACAGATCAATATAAATATGTCTGCTGTAAATATACGCCGGTATTAATAAATATAAGGATATAAATTAGATTTTTCTTTCCTTTCTGTAGATTTTCCAATGTTATAAATTCTCGAATTTGCATTTTAAAGAAAGAAAGAAAACACGAAACAATGAAATCCACAGGTAAGAAGGCTCATTGAGGCGTTCAGGAATTTCGTCCAAGTAACTTTATAACATCGAATTTCTTTTTAAATATGAATTAATTATACAAATCTTATGCCAATTATTCTAATAAAATATTCAGATCAACTTTATAAAATATTCTAAAAACGTAATTGTTGTTGGAAATAATCCAAAAAAAAAAACAAAAAAATGTATGTAATTTTCTTGATTTTATAGGCGTATCTACAACAGCTTCTATGTGTATTGATATAATAGATACAATAAAATACAAAAATTTAATATTTTTAATATAAATTTTTTCGTCAGAATATCGATTCGTATCCTCCGAAATTCACTTTCCTTCAATGGTTAGGAAGGAAGAGAATTTAATGTTTGATAATTGCGTTTAATTTAGGACATAGACTACCGTCACACTTAGAATAATGATTAATTTATAATTAGCCGAATGTACGTCACAGATGTCTCCACGTAATTAAATATCTTAGTGTTATTTTCTATACGAATTTCATCGATTTTTATATATATATTATTCCATACGTTGGTACTTATTTTTTTTATAACTTAAGCAACTCCGAATTTCCATAAAGTTATATTATTTGATAAATTTGAACCTTTGGCCTTTCTAGTTACTCGATAGATGAACTGTCTTCAGGCAAAGAATGAATCCAATTAGGATATAAAAAGAAAAACGTTCCAATTTTTGAAATGTCTCTTCTCCCTTATATTTTTCTTACGATTATAAAAAAAACACACACAGAAAACAGAAATGTGACTCCACCATCGACCTTAATTTTTCAAGTAAATAAATTATTTTATTCATTATATATACCTTATCTCTTGCATTAACTGTTTCTGGGAATTTATTTATAAGAAACTGCAGAATGTTTGTGCGATTGAAGAGAACTGCACGATGTAAAGGAGTCATACCTAAATGATCTTTTGCTAATGCAAAATCATCCTTATCTAAATAATCTTGGAGGCCCGATAAATCGTCATTTGAAACTGCTGAGTGAATTGCTTCAATTTTTTCTAATAACTTAGGAACATTAGTATTTATAAAATTTTGGATTTCTTCATTTTCAGCCGTTTGTTTAGCAATTTTATCACCATAGCCTTCTAATACAGCATCTTCAAGCTTTTGTATATCTTCAGATGATATCCATTTATGAATATTTGCTGATGTAACTTCTATACCTATTAGAAGAAATATGTTGATATTTTATGTTTTAAAGAAAACAAGAATTAAATTAAAATAGACACAAGAGAACAATAAGAAACAATAGAAATAGATTTATTAAATATACTATAAAAACAACAAAAAAACAATTCTTTCTTTATAAAATAAAATTAAAAGTAAAAACTACTTTATTGGAGCACAGTTTACCACATATTTTCAAATGTTTTCAAGACCACAGAATGAATTCTCTATCTTAGCAGAAGATATGAAAATAAAATAATGTAAGATCTTCCAACTGGCTTATTATATGATAATTATTTATTTCCACCACTTTGATTCTTTTAACATGTAACTTTGTAAAGCAGACATCTCTAATGCTGCTTGGTCATACTGTCAATATTAAGCTCTTTGAAAGATTTATGTTGTTTTATTTTATTTCTGAAAATGTATCTATAAGCCTAAAGATGTTTTAATTTACAATTTCATAGACTACACTGCAATTAAAGCACTGTTGTGCTTTTCTGCAGGCTAAAATATGGCATAAAACATAAGTAATATAAATAAATATTTATAATTTTTATTTTATTTGCTAAGAAATTAAGAAAACTTTAGGATCAAAGAATCCCTGTAGGTTCGATTTTATTTTACTGTAGAATTGAATGTATTAACTCTTAAAAATATTTTCATGTTTTGTAATTGATTCAGTTAATCATATTTTGATTGAAATTGCTATTTTAAAAAAACTTAAAACAAATGAAAAAAATTAATATCAACTTATATTGATACTTTATTGATTTTTCATGAAATAATCAAGACAATAAAAAAAAATATAAAAAGTTTTATTAGCCTTTTATTATTACATGCTATGGCACATTATCCTATGGGCAAATAGGGCAATTGCCAGGTGTCCCCACCAGCAGGGGGACCAAACAAATCTTTTATAAACTCATTACTGTAGTAGAAATATCAAAATTTAATTTTGGGCCATATTTGGGGAGCAAAGGTTGCCAAGTTGTGATCTCAAGTCAGAATGGAAGAGAGGTGCAGATTCATATTGTAAGGAGTCAAATCTAACCATTTTATTTTTGTTTGGGGATTATTTTTAGTTCACTTTATTATTTATTTTTGGGGAATTTTATTCCATTAAAGATAGACTACCGCACCCCCAAGACAAAATTTTGCAGTGAAAATGAAAATCATCTTAATAAGACAACTGCCAAGGATGAACTGAATGCATCATTAACCCAGAAATAACACCTTGGGGAAGGGAAAGACTTCCAAGGAAAAGTTAAAAGAATGATCACCACCACAAATTGTCACTGAAACACAGGACTAACTGAAAAGAAAATGATGTGAGGGTGATGACATGATATGTAATGGAAAAGACGATTGCTAGTAGTAAATGACAATGTTAACTGTAGTGGGTACATCAATAGAACATCACTATCATTATATAAGAATAATTAAAAGAAGAAAGATGAGCTGAGAACTGATGACGTAAAGTTAAAGATCAAACAAGATTGAGGCAACAGAAAAGCAGTGCTTTTCAAGTTGAATATGGTAGATTAGAGGTTTCATATTGGTGATGGTTAGATGGTAGAACATTAAATATTTTTTTGTAAGTCATTTAGAATTTTTTGATTGTCAACCCTGAGGAGAATTGTTTAAGCAGAATATAAGTAGAATGTAAGGTCCTGATTGCTAGCAATTGTATTGTTTGTTTTTGATATATTCTTTTTTAAATTACAAAGTTCGAACATTAAATTTGTACATAGATATTTTGATTACTAAATTTATTGTACTTAGCTAATAAATGTTTTGCTGAATTTTACTAATTGTCAAATTTTGTTCTTATTTTGGGTTCATTAATAATAATTTCTTGTCTTTAATTTTACAAGTTCTCCATTTCCTTTCAAAGTCCAGGACTGGCAACTGAACCCTTCGGTTACATAACATGAGTCCATTAGATGATCAGGGAAAGTTTATTAACCTTTGATTGTCTTCCAATATAACATGCATTACAATATGTGGGTGTGATAGACACTGAGTCAGACTCAACAGTTACAAAAAAATTGTCCTGTTTTATTTAAACAAAAACAAGGCTTACAGAAATAATGTTCTTGGTGCCTCTGCATATGAAAAGCAGAACTGTGAATCTTCTATTTTGCCTTTTTAAGAGAGTCTTGAGAGAAGGAATCTTATGTTAATTTGGCTGCCCCGGAGCAATGATGTTAAAAGTCTGTAGAAGAGGTGATGTCAGTCCAAATAGAGAGTCAAGGGTGAAGTGGAAAATGAAATCAAGTAAAGTCTGGAAAATGTGAGAAATTGAAGAGAGAAGATCTGTTGTTCTTAAAATTTAGAGTTCTTATTATTTTTTGTCTCTATATGCTCTTTCTAATCAGTTGTTTTATCAGTTCCTCATCCTCACTTTTTAAGTGGTCGTCTCTCATTACTACCGTGTTTCCCCGAAAATAAGACATCCGCAGAAAATAAGACCTAGCACAGATTTTGCTGAATTGCGAAATATAAGACCTCCCCCTGAAAGTAAGACCTAGCGAAGTTTTTTTAGTCGTAACGGTCATCGATAGATGGTTGAAAGTGGCCGTTGGCTTTTTGAAAGTACAGCCACTGATTGGTCAGCAGACAATTACGCCACACGGCATGATTTGCATAAGACTATGGCTTGGGAATCACAGATTTGCATAACGTTACGGCTTATGATGGCTAATTGGTCGGCCAGGAATCATGCCACATGACATTTGCATAGTGCTATGGTTCAGTAAGCACTAATTGGTCATCAAGTTCGATGTTGACGCTATAAAAAGGCGACAGTTCGACACACCGGATATACGTCACTCTTGTCTAAGTTCGACTTGGGCATTTTTTTGTTCAATAATAAATGTGAATTCTTCTTCCTGGAAAAAATAAGACATTCCCTGAAAATCAGACCTAGCGCATTTTTCAGAGCAAAAATTAATATAAGACACTGTCTTATTTTCGGGGAAACACGGTAAGAGTAACAAGATCTCAACTTAAATTGTGCAGTTAGTCAAAATTGGCATTTAATTCAATCCCAACCAAAGATAGTTGATCTTAAGACTTACATCATTGTCTAGTTTTCTTTTGTCTTGTATCTGAGAAAAGATTTTTTTTATCATTATTATTATTTTTTTTATTTTTTCCTTTTATGGAAAGAAAAATTATATTTTAAAATATTAATGAATTTAGTGTGGTTCCAGGACATTTCTGGAGTCTCAAGGTGCAACATAGAACATAATCTTTCAGAGATCACATTATAAAAAATAAATGAGGATACAGGGAATTTCCCTCAAAAATTCCCTTGAAAGAAAATATCTGAAGTCAACACTGTACATGGAGCCCTCTAATTCAGATTTTCATGGGTCCAATGAAGCTACAACATGTCTCTGATTACATGTAAAAAATTGCTAAATGAATTGAAATTATGTTAAACTCCAATGATAAAAATTCAGTGCTTTTGTTATAAAAGCATTCAATTTTCAATATAATAATTTCAATAAGCAATAATATTATTCCAAATGTATAAAATTTTAATTGAATCTAAATTAATAAGGCTATTATACAGTATATTTCACTCATAATTTTAATTAATTTAAATAAATTAAATCTATTGGATGAAATTTTGATATGAAATCTTAGATAACTTTTTACACAGAGATTTGAATTTTGTACAAAATTATTTGAGAATATAAATAAATTTACATCATTTAATTATGAATGTCATAGTCATAAATTTTTAAAAATTAATATGCAGTGAAACCGCCATTAATAGACACTCCCAAATAGCAGACACTTCTATTTAACAAACATTTTTACAATCCCCAGATCCTTCAAACAGAACATCTATATTATTTATCTCTAAATAGCAGACACTCTAAATAACAGATGCCATTGTCCATAACCTACCCTATGAAAACATAATGTTCCTCCTTCAATATTCTGAAACAATTAATTATGTACAAAATATTTTAAAATGAAAACAAAGTATCAGTTCAAATAATCTTTCAGAGGATGAATTTTGACCATAGGTATCAAATAAAGACTGGCTTAAAATCAGAATAGAGGAGGAAGGCAGACTGTAAAAAGCCAAAGCCAAATATTTTTTATTTGTTAGAGAAGACTAATCTGAATACACTTTCCACACCATATAAGGGTGTGGAAAGTATTTGGTTTTCTTGCATTTATAATGTATTCAGTATTCTAGCAAACTGCCTACCTAACTTGACATTCAAACTGTCAAAGCCTAAACCAATCTTCATCCACCCTTCTGTTTGCAATAACAATTTCAGTTTTCTTTTTCATTATTTCCGCCCAGGTCATTTTTGATGAATTAATAGGTAATCAATTTTTACACTTTGACAGAATTTTTGTTTTATTTAATTAAGTATGCTGTTCAATCTATTTCTTTTTAGAGAATCAACTAAAATGTGATTTTTACAGTCGAAGAGATAAATAATATATTGTATATATTTTCTAATTGTATATATTTTCTAATTACATATGTTACATATACTTTTTGGTACTTTTATATTCTTAACACAAATTTGATGTTTTTGTAATCCATCGTATTCTTCTCTGTATGATGACCGCATTAAAATACAGTATGGCTGCCAACATATACCTCCCAATAACAGACACCTATAAATAGCAGACAAACTTCTTGGTCCCAATGGTGTCCACTATTTGAAGGTTATACCATGTATGAAATTTATTTTATTAATTTTTTTTAAAGTAAAACTAAGACATTCAATGTATATTATGAAGTTTTGAATAAATAAATTGATAATAGTTACTTACGTTTAGGTTTTGGTGGATTTACAGGTTTATTTCTGAGAACAATGCCTCTTTTATACAGTGGAAGATTGCTTTCAAAATGATTACCTGCATTAACCTATAAAGTGAAAAAAATTAAATAAATCTGATATTTACAGTTCAATATAAATTAAACAAAACATTTTACATAAATAATATATTCAATTTAAAAGGCAAGATTAAATACAATAAATTTCCTGTAAAAATAGTGACACTTCAATTATTTCTGAAATTACTTAGCCATTCCATAATATAGTAACTATTTTTAATATTTGAAGACAAGTTCGCCCAAATAGGGATCACCATTTTCTCTTTTGCATTCTAGACAGTACATTTCCGGCAACCAACCTTCCTTTCTAGGCTACTAGCTGCCAAAAAGTTTTAAAAAAGTCCTTTTAAAAAACACAAAAAGATTTCCAATTAAAAACACAAAGATTTTCTAAAATCAGAACTGGTGTTATATGAATGTCTTTCTTGTTTGTTACCATCTATACTTTCTCGGGGATGTTTCGGCCTTTTATCCACAGAAGAGAGCGCTGGAAAATGTCTTTGTGTTTTTAATTGAAATCTTTTTGTGTTTTTTTAAAAGGACTTTTTTAAAACTTTTTGGCAGCTAGTAGCCTAGAAAGGAAGGTTGGTCGCCAGAAATGTACTGTCTAGAACGCAAAAGAGAAAATGGTGATCTCTATTTGGGTGAACTTGTCTTCAAAAATAGAAAGAACCATCAGACGAAAAAATTATAATAGTAACTTTTATTCAAATCATTAATAACTTACCATATATCTGTGCAGATAAGATGACATTCAGATAAGACGAAGTATAAATTTTCGTCAAAGTTTTATAGTTTTAGCATATATCTGTCCTATAAGATAACCCCCAAACTATCAATGGCCTATGAATTTAGTTTAGATCAGCAATCATCATCTGGATAATAATATTGCATAGCATATACGGAATTATGTCCTGTTCATAATTTTTTGAATGAACAAATTTTATTTTTTTGCATCTGACAGTACTGCCTTGCAATTATTGCAAACATTCACACTGATTTGGGCATTCGGGTAATGGCCTTCACTATTCACAAAAACATCGTATGGACCATTTAAATACATTGATGAGTGATTTGTTTTATTTTATAATGGTTTTAATTTACAGTAATACCCCAAACTTACGTGATAGGTGGGACCGAGCAATAACCGCATAATTCAAATTTGCATAAGTCGGGGTATAATTTTGCAATTTGTGTAACATCCAAGTCGGATGTATATAAGCTAATAAATGTTCTCGTTAATCTTATCTCATCTTTTGAATCGTTCACAGTTACAAGAAATCACCACATAGAGTCTCTCAAGTCTCCGTAGATATAACAAACACAGAAATAAATAACACAAAATAAATTGTAGCTATGTGTTGATTCCGCAAGACATGTCCAAACATGTAAGCTGAAGAATAGTGTGGGGGAGTGAGTAATCAAAAGTTGCATGGTGCTCAAACAAAAGACGAATTGACGAGATTTGAAAATCGTGTAACTCCGGGTTCGCATAAGTCGGGGTAGTGTAAATTGAGGTATTACTGTATATAAATTTCAATCTAATTTTTTTTGTATCTATTCTATAAGACAACCCCGGATTTTGGGGGCCTTTTTTATGATTCAAGTATTGTCTTATCTGTGCAGATATACAGTATCTATTGATACAATAATATATATGTGAAATACAATATCTGTAGGAAAAGCTCAAAAAATAATCTGTAGTATGCTGAAGTAAAATTCTATATTTTATTCATAAAATTCAAAATATTAAATATTAAATTAGTAAAAATTATTTTTTAAAAAATTTGATCACAGTATTGGAATAATGATAAATAAATTGACATAAAAAGCTTGGATTTGCTTAAAACATTATTTGAAAAAACATAAAATGAGAAATTACTGCTGAATTATTTTTAGAGCATTTTTTCATGATGAATAATCAGTTAATAATATAGCTGAATCTTTTTATTTAAATTTCTTATAATTCAAAATTGCAAAATTTTTACCTGGTCGTCTAAGTCAACATCAAAATAATCTCCTTTTTCTTCTGTACTTTTTGAATTGTCTGAAGGTTTATTCAGTTGAGCTGAAAAAATAAAAGGTTTTAAAAATTAAAAAAAAAAAAATTATGCAAATATATGAGGGGGTGTTCAAAAAGTATCGGACCTTTATTTTTCCCACGTAAACCAATGATGGACGGGAGGTCTCTTTCGGTGGAGTTGTGGAGGAAATAGTCATGCACAGTCCTGAATTTTTTCCCGCCTGCAGGAAGCGTCAGTCGCTGACAGTTGGCCTGTAGTGAGCGCTTGTCGGATTTCACTAAGTTGAAAAATGACTAAACAACGTGAGCAGAGATATTGCATCAAATTTTGCCAAAAGCTTGGCGATACCCAAGTGGAAACCATTCGCAAGATTCAGCAGGCTTTTGGGGACGATCCTCGAGGCCAAAAAAAAGCGCGACAGGTCCGCAGCAATGTCAAGCAATGTTTTTTTTCGACTCCCGTGGAATGGTGTATCCTGAGTATGCACCACAAGGCCAAACCGTCGCAAAGGAGTACTACCAGGAGGTCCTTTGTCGTCTTTGTGATGCTGTGCGATGCAAATGACTGGATCTGTGGTCAACCAAAACTTGGCAGCTCCATCATGATAACGCACCCGCCCATTCTGCGCATCTGATTTGAACTTTCGTCGCCAAACACAACATTCCTGTGGTTCATCATACTCCATACTCTCTCGACATGGCTCCATGTGACTTTTGGCTATTTCCCAAGCTGAAAATGCCACTAAAAGGAACCCAATTTTAGTCAAGAGAAGACATCACGCAGAATGTGACAAACCAGCTGATGGCCATTCCAAAAGATGGATTCCAGAAGTGTTTCCAGCAATGGCAGGAGTGCTGGGAGAAGTGTATACATTACTAAGAAGACTACTTTGAAGGGGATTAGGGTTTTTTACCTCAAAATCAATAAATGTATTTTTGCCGACCAAAGGTCCAATACTTTTTGAACGCCCCTCATACCACATATGCCAGCATACAAGTTGACTCTCACTCAGAATTCTTGCTTAAACATATGTCAATCCTACAAATATACTTACTGTACAATAGAATATTGATAGGCTATACTAGAATGTGAATATAATATGTTATATATTATATTCAATGAATTATTTTTAGAGTAAGTCAATGGTGAAAACATTGAATGAAGCCACATCACTTTCATTGAGACACTAATTGTAATAAGATTTAATGTAATAAAGAATGTGAGCAACAGAATCTGTGTAGACATCAAACAAAAAACATATTTTCAAAAATCTATCTGGTAAGAATTGTATTGTGCAGCACATCTATCATACATTCTAGTTCTAGCCAAATCAACACATCTCCAATAAAATACTAATAGTTTGCACAATTCAGCACCATAGTAAAAACTGCTACATATAGTACATGATAGTAGAACAATATAGAATACCTTTGCTTATGATCAGCTGTTAGAAATAGCAAACAATTTAATATTCATTTACACTAATTTTTTATTATATTTATCTCTGTTAAATAGTTTCATCAAACATGAGTTTTAGTTCACAGTGACAAATGAAAAACTTACAATAAACTGGTAGACAGCAATTAATTAAAGTACATTTCACTTATTTATTACTCTGTGATAAAAATACACAGTTTTTAGCAGCCTTAAGTCAATCTCTAGTTTTAGAGAGGTTTGTCAGGCTTTAGAAGTCAACTTATATGACAACACATATAGTAATTATTTAACATTTTACTTAAATTATTATTCAATATATATACAATTTGAAGACAAAAAATACTTTTGAAGTCTCCTGATTATGTTCTTCTTGTGCCACAAGAACACAATTAAATAGTTGTAGAGTTGACCTTTTTTTTATAAGCTCTACAAACAAACCCATAAAGATACCAATAACCAGCAAAAAATCAGAAAACTTTATTGAAAACAAACAAGAAAACATTTGTTTTCATTAACATTTTCTCATTTTTTGTTGGTTGTTGATGTCTTTGTGAGTTTATTTATACATAAAGCCAGTATAATAGTAGTGACTGTGTACATTCTATCCAGATTATCTTATTTATACAATTTTTACTACAGTATTTTCTAATATCAAAGGAATTTATAACAATTTTATATAATTTAAGTAAGAGCCTACAAAGAAAGATTGATTTTGTTACCACTAATGTGCTTATGTTCCTGTAAATAATTACACACACAATCATTCTTTAAATTACATAATTAAAGGAAATATTCTTTTTATATTTAACTATTTAATAAAGTTTTCTTTTCTCATTATCTGATCAATATTTTTAGATAAAGCAAAACAATCAGTCACTGTAGTATTAAACTGATATTGAAATATCTAACTACTGTATATTGAGCAGTATATAATACATTACTCTCTAAACTTATTGTAATGAAGTAAAACTTAATGTTATTAATATATGTTTCAGACACTAATCTAAAAAAACTATTTTTTTAAGGTTATAAAAATATAAAATGCTTATTAATATTGACATATTAAATATAATATATATATAATATTAAACTTAATAATTTCAACAATATAATATTAAACTTAATATTTTAATAATAAATAAATTTATAATTAGCAAATCATAGATTCAAATGTTCGGCTTATGATTTGCTAATTATAAAGTTATTTATTTTTATTTTGTGAATTATTATAGAACAAGCATAGAAGTCAGCAAAACAATTCATATGAATCTACATAAAGAAAACATAGATTTATATGAATTGTTCATCTTGTATGTTTTTTTCATGTATATTCATATGAATTCTTCCGCTGACTTTATAATCTTCCACAAAAAAAAAAAAAATTATGTTTTTTCATATAAGTTTATTCATATTGTGTGGCAACATAAATACTATCTTTTACAAAAACTGAATGAATTGCATACTTTGTTTTAATGAAAACAAATTTCATTAATTTCAGACTTAAACTTACATTCTGTAATCTTTTAATCATAATTTGGATATAATTATAAAATCTTGTTTGAGCAACAGTTGAATGCTGAACATAAATATATTTTTCAGCAAATCTTAAACATAAGATAAACATTACTACTAAAACACTGCTACTCCACTAATTGCTGAAAATTGTATCATCATGATTAATATTGGATAGAAATTCAAATTTTTTGATTGCTAAAAATTAACTAAAATATTTTAAAATTATCCCAGAATAATGAATGACAAAACTGTTTTCATTTTACAAGTCTTTATACAAAATTTAATTATTGTTTATAATTCGTAAATTAAATCATGGTATATAATTTACAAATTCTGAAAACTCTAGAATCATTAAATTTAGTCAAATAAAATGCTTCAATTATAAAAATATTTTGCTTACAGGAAGGGACTTTTAATTTAAGACGACTTGCAGTATTTGCAATATATGTAGCATTAGCTCTTTGATTATTCTTTAAAACATAATCCATGTTTATTTGTTCAGGATGCTGAAGATAGTATTCAGGAGTTTTTCCTTTCTATGGAATAAAAAAATATGATATAAGGAGATTAAATCTTCAATAAATTTATTAAATTTCAATTTTAAAATCAGATTTATATTAACTATATTCGAGATAAAGTTAAATGAAGATAAAATGATAGATAAAATTATGTGATACATAATTTTATGTGATAGATAAAATTATGTGATACATAATTTTATCTATCATTTTTTTATTAAGTGCAAGATGTATCTGTTAGGGTTGATTAGCAATCCTGTCAAAATTTTGTTAACCTAATTTATATGAAAAAGTGTTTGGAGCTGAAACACAAAACAGAAAAATCACAGGCACAAGAGATGATTCAAATCAAAAGTTCAGAAAGAATTAAATGATGGAGAATTGTTTGCAGATTTTGAGAAAGGAGGAAAATCATTTTTCTTCTGATTGAAAAAGTTTGGTAAAGTTCTAGTAGAATTGATGTAGACACTAAAGGTGAAGTCACACTTACAGAAAAACACCACTGAAAATGTAAACTGAAAGCCAAAACCAGAAAAATTTTACATCCCTCGCCTGTAAAATTTCTGGAAAATCAACTCAAGAGGTGCTTGGTGAAAAATTTTTTTTGGTCACGTAAAATGTAGATATTGACCAATCAGATGCCTGAGAGTGATGACATACAATGAGACAGCACAGTACAGCATCACTGATGTTGCTGCTGTGCTGCCTGAGGCTGAAAACAAGAAACTGAGTGAGCTGCCCAGCTGCCATTTTCACACTCTGCTGGTAGTTGCATCACTGCTAGTAATGTGAACTGATACTCTAGATGGTGAAGAAGCTTGTTATTTTTTTTATTCTGTTTTTCTTTTGTTTCACGATTTTACATGCGAAACAAGGAATTCATACTGAATGGAAAATTCCATTATGGTTACGTGAGCTTTTTTTCCCTGTAAGTGTGACTCCAGATTAAGTGGTGTTGAACTATAGATTGGGTGTGGAAACCAAATATTTGAATCAAACACAAAACTGTAATTGAAAACCAGAACTGCAACAGTGACATTGCATTGATGGCTGACTCATTTTCATTCTCCAAAAATGTAACTACATCACATTCAATTTTTATTCTTCTTCTTAGCATTGTCCCACAGACGTAAGGTGTGCTATTCGGATCTAGAGTGTGCTAATGGATTCGGATGTAGGGTGTGCTAACAGCTCAAGATTTCCTTCTTATCCCATCCATTCTTATCCTTCATGCACATGTAGTGCTCGATGCCTTGCACAGCCCTCGTTTGTGCTTTCACCAGTCAGTAAATGTTCTTCTCACCTTCCCGTGTGTCAAGTTGCTCGTAAAGATCTCGATGGTATTCAGCCCGCACTGCAGCCACCACTCTCTTGGCTTCCCACTTGGCTGCAGTTTACTGCTGCCAGTTTTCACTAATCTTATTGATGAACCAAGCTCTAAAGGCTATCTTTTTTTCCTGCACCTTTTGTTGTACTTCCTCTGTCCAGAGCCATGTCTGCTTATCGATGTGCTGACTACCTAAACTATTGACATCAAGGGTCATCCTTGCATCTGTGGTGATGGATTGTGAACCGCATCCCACATGGCGTCAATTGAGGATCCGTTGGCTTCAGGGAAGGTAATGCTGTTGATCAGGGCAACTTCATGTTTCTGGAACTTTCACCAATGAATCATCATCAGCCCTCTCACACAGCCGCCCCGATGTTGTGTGGTGATCTTAATGTCGATGATTAGCAACTTATGCTGTGGGGCCAGACAATCAGATGGAATGACCTTTACATCGGTGACACTAATGTTGAAGTCACGTCTCCGTGCCAGCATGTAGTCAATCTAGCTGCAGCTGTTTCCACTGGTGTAGGTAACCAAATAACTAGTGCATTTCTTGAAAAAAGTGTTGCAGACAACAAAGTCGTTAGTTTCTGCTAAGTCAAAAATTCAACAACCATCATTGTTTCGTGTACCACATCCAAAGCTGCCATGGCAATCATACCCATTCTTGGCCCTCCCAATGTGGTATTTAAGTCACCACAGCATGAGCATATCTTCCGTAGAGCACGATGCTACATGGTCATGTAGATTCCACCAAAACTGCTCCTTCTCCTTCTCAGCGCATCCTGTTTGCGGGGCATATGCCAAGATACGCAGTTGGCGAGTGCCTATGTCAATGATAGCAGACATAAGGTGATCGGAATGATGATTTACTTCTGTCACGCAGTCACACAAGTCAGGGCTAACAACCAACGTACACCACACTGGTTCATCTTGCTGTAGTACATAAGTTTAAACCCATCAATGATGTCATGTGACTTCTCTCCCATCCAACATGTTTCTTGCAGGTAGGCAATGCTCACATGATGTCGTTTAAGTATATTGGCAAGCCCGTGGCTATACCCAGTTAACATTCCAATGTTGAGTGTAGCGATTCATATCGACTTTGGATTAGTTTTCAAGTTTGGGTTCGAGTTTGGGTAGACTAGCTTCTTTAGTTGGTTCCACCTGGTAGCCCTTGCAAATTTTTTTATGCTGGCCAACGTGCGTTGCTTCTGTGGTAAGCCCTAGCATTTGACGATGATTCTAAAAGTGACATTTCTGATCCTTGGGTTGCAACAGGAGTTGACCAACTGGCTTGTCACCACAGCCTGACGTTAGGTCCATGTTTAGCTCACCACCACCTTACAGGTGGGCAGTCTTCAATGGCACCACTTTTAAACAAATTCTTAATCTTTAAAAAAAAAAATAATATACCAAAATTTAGTAAACTATATCACATTCAATAAAAGTAAAAAATTCTACTTTTTATTATGTTGCATATATATTTTCACCAAACATATATTATTACAAAATAATCAATTATTGTGACATCATCACAATGCTGAAGTGCAATTTTTAATCATATTTTTTAAATGTGTTTAATTTAAAATATATGCTCTCCATCTCAAATTAGTAGTGCCTTGCCTCTGTACATCATACTTTTCCTGTTAGCAATATAGTCATGTCGGTCATCTATCTAACTCCTTTCAAGAGAAAATTTTAAAATTGAAATAATGTGACTTCTGGTTTGCATTGGAAGTTCATATATACTGTAGTTAACTGGAACTTCCTGCCACAAACTCATATATAATCATAGCTTTCATCTATCTAACTCTGTTCTTAAGATTAATTAAGGAAGAACAAACAAACATCCAGACAGCCAGTAGGAATTTACAGTTCTATAATTTTTTTTCAAATTGCAGCCCAATAAGATGTAAATGACTTTACTTGTGAATAAATAACAATTACACACACCAAGAACATGTTTGATTTTTCTTTCAACTATTACCTGGGGGCACTGCTCAACCTCTCAGTGCTCTTGAATATCAGTAGATGGACGACCCATCTTTTTTTTGACAGATCAAAACTTATTAATAATATATAAACAAACAAATTATAACAAAAAGTTATCCAAATATGCAAAGTTTTTAAACTATTTTTCCATTTCTTGTAGTTAAAACTTACATCATGTATGCACTGTTATTTTCTTCAGAGCTGGAAATGGCTGTTGAAAATTATTGATATGCATTTAGATGAAGAAAAAGTATTGAATGAGTTCATAATTGCAAGTTAAAATTAGCAGATAAGCTGCATTATTTCATAATATGCCTGCTTTAAAACAGACTTTTATACACATAATTTAGGGGTTATTGTCATATTCTAAGTATTTCTCAGTATTAGTTTTTTCTTAGTATTTCTAATGATTACAGTCAAACCTCAAGTTTCAAACACCTTACTTTTCAAACAAATTGGTTTACAAATAGAATTTCAAACTTCTAATTGCACCAGTTGTTATACAATAACTCAGTTGTCAAACAAGTTACTCAACAAGAGCTGATCAGAGATGGTCAACTATACATCTTATGTTAAAGAAAATTGACAGCCTGACCAAATCAATGACAAGACTACTGATTCAGAAGTTTGTAATGCTGAGATCACCTCACATTATTAGACATCACAAGTCATTTATGATGTTTCTATTTAAATATATTTCAATGCACATACAGGAAAGATACTACTTCCATTATTTGGAATATGCTGCAGTTGAATTTAAATTAAATTGATTAATAAAAACAGTGTTAATTAACATTCATGTAATATAAATTTCATCCAAGAATTTGTGTTTAAAGGTACTTAAGTCAAATTAAATAACAGAAATTTATTAAATAAAATTTTTTAATTATTTTTCATTAGTACATAAATGGCATATGGCATTATAATTAACAGATTTTGAGGATTAGTAATGGATTAATTCATTTTATATTGTTTTTTTATGGGAAAATTTGTTTTGGTTTTAGAATAACTTTTAGGAATGAATTATGTTCAAAAACCAAGGTTTGACTACATAAGTATTTCTTAAGTAGATTATCTTTACTATAGATTATTTTAAAAATCAGGGATGGGGGAGTCAGTGGAAAAATACGCAACTCACACTCACAACTCCCAAGTCAATATTTTTTTTAAATCAACTCCAACTCCCGACTCGCATAAAATGATTTGATTCCTTAACTCCTTATTTCAACTCACCATCGCTGTAAAAAGTTAAAACTTACTGAATCAAGAATGCTACTTCTCGCTCCAATTGCTGTTAACATGTTGTACATTTCATTATTATCCTTCAATACAGCAGCATAATGTAAAGCAGTACGTCCATCCTGAAAAACAATTTTTTCATTTTTTTCATTCAACATTCCGCACATTAATTAATTAATACAGTAGAACCTCGAAAACTCGACCTAATGTGGACCGAAGGGTGGCCGAGTTTGTGAAAATGCCGAGTTATCGGGAATGGGATTAAAAAAAATAAGTACGAGTATTTCCTCAGAAAATACTGTACTGTACTTGTACAGTATTTACTTGTACAGAATATAACAGAGAATAAACTGCCCAAATACCCTTAAACAAAGGAAAAGTACGTCCTTTATGAAGGCATAGAGCCACTACATGAAAATGAAAATTAATGAATACACTGTGTACAGTAATTTACCTGATAAGACAGACCTCAGAAAAATACTTT